ACCCACCCACTCGTGTGCCATTCTGGCCTTTGTAGGTGCTCGCTAACAGCACTTGCCCAAACAGTCTATTAGGCTATATGGGGGATCTTTGTCTTTGTGCGTGGAGCGGTCGTGGAAGTGGTTAGCGCACCGCGCTGCGCTACGAACCCGGTGATCCCAGTTCGATTCCCGCTCACGGCCAGTAACAGTGGCGAGTTTTTTAAACCGGTCCCGGGCCTCCCCTAGCTCGACTCAGCCTTTAAATGAGAACTTCGTACGTCGTGTGAAATATCAGCGCTGGTGAGACAAAGGCGGCCGGGCGTGAAAAAAATCACGACGTTTCGGAGGCAACACAAGCGTCCGTTATCAGGTGGGACAACCACAGCAACAATTGCTGAAGTAGTCCGGGTAATATGTGAGACCTCCCCGTGCCATGTGAACGATACGCTGGGTTGTTGTCACATTGCCCCAGCCATTCCGTGATGTCGACTTCCCCATTCATGGTCAGGCCCAGGATCAAGACCTTCCTTTCCTCCCTTGCCCTTGACTGATCCTGTATCTCTCTCTCTCTCTGTCTCTTTTGTTTTAAGTCAAAAATACTTTATTAAACAAATCGAGGTGCATTGCGATACGTGACGGCACTGCAATTAGTGTGAGGCATATAAGTTTACATTCACTTTCAAAATAGTCTTACATTCAATGCGTGCACTGAATTGTACATGCACAAATAATGTTTTCTTATGTTGTGTGGAGTAATTTGCATAAACCCGTATAGAAGACTGCGAGGTGGCTTTGATTTGGGGGTTGGAGCGTTGATACGGCACGGATAATTATGGATTAAAATCCATGCTGGGCACTCTTTAAGCGGAGTTCCTAAATGAAGTGAGTTGAAGTCTTAAGCTCGCTCTCTCTCTCGAGATGAAATCAACAGACCGGCTGTTTCGAGTCGGCATCTTCACACGTGGTCATGTTTGGGCACCGCTGTAAAAGTCTACATCGTGTTGGACAGAGACTCCAGCAGGCTCACGCAGAGACCCTCAATCAGAATCTCTATTCATGCCGGAGAAATCCGATGAGCTATGAAGCTCCAATGCAATAGACGCACATGGGACTCGTTCATTCACAATGATTCTAGATTTGAAATTTTCGTGACTGCAAGGATTCATACTCTTTGGTTTTTTCGGTAAAGTCACGTAGGTAAAAGAATGCGCGCCGCTTAAGTGGTGTGCTAAGTTGTCCCCACCTGAAGAAGGACGCTTGTGTTGCGCCCAAAACGTCGTGATTTAATTTATTTTATTTTTTTACCTACGTGACTTTACCGAAAAAACCAAAGACTATAAATTCACAATGAGCCTCTCAAAACGGCTTGCAAGGTTTACGGCGCCATAGCAACCGTTAGTATCGTCGTTATTAGTCATGAAACGTGTTTATATATACATCTGTAAATTGTTTCTAGACTTGCCCTCCCACTCCACCACCCCGCGCCCGTACCTACCCGACTGCCCCTGCCATAGCAATGTGGAATTTCCATCGGTGACTCGGAGATGACCCACTGGTGTGACTCGGCGCTCCCATCCACCCCTCTGTTTCTCCACAAATCTGCCCGCCTGATGAAGCCGCTGGTAATTACTGGGCGAAAGGTCACGGCATTCGAGATTGTGAATGTTGTGGATCTGCTCTCTCCAACACGCAACCTTAGTGCTGAACTCGTCACGAATTGGCACGTTCTGTTTACGTGACATCACCTTACTCGTTGGCTGCGTCGGATGGTGGCGGTTTCAATGACGCATTTATTTAAAAACCTCGAGGATGGATGCTATTGGTAGCGAAAGCCCTACTCCGTGTGAAACTACAATGGAGAGTGTTGGAGGAGGGAGGCCTGGGAGTTGGGGGACAGTCGGCCCTGCTGTAATCGCTAACGAGGATTCGGCGTCAAATATTTACCTGCACCCCCCCCCCCCCCCACAGTTCGTTAATTCACCTACGGAGGGAGGGGGGTAAGGGGAGAGGGGGGGAGGGGCTGGGGGTGAGGAGGGGGGGTGCT